TTAGAGCGTTTCAACAAGGAGAGAAAAGCTTTATCTTGCGAAAAAATCAAAATGGAAAGCCTGTAGGTTTCATGCTCCCAGTATTGTTATGTTTCATCGATATCTAAATGGTGTTTTGGAGATCCCTTCAAAAAATCGTTTGGTTTCCTCTTATTCAAAGTAGCGGTACGTGCAACACATTTTGTTGTAGCTTCGCTCGGGAGGTTGTGGGACTGTCAGGAGGACAGAGTGCTTTTGTCGCAAATGGTATGATTGTGGGACCATTTGAAGAAGATGAAGAAATCAATGAAGCGGATGTCGAATTGCTTGAAAAGATTGTTGATTCTCAAGGAGCATCTGTAAGTTTTGTTTGAATTTTATTATGATCAGCGTTCTAATTTTCCCCGTTTAGGTAATCGCAACGAACGTGGACAACTGGAAAGTCAACAAAGAAGACGGATACTCATCTGATATTGTCATGCGAGGTTTTGCGCTGATCTCAAAGCATGCGGTTTTCCGCAAAAGGACTTGGATAGTATTGGGTGAAGATAAATACAGGTTTGTTGTATCGCATTATAATACAAAATTCTTCTGTGTGTTTGAACTTCTTTTTACAGCACAGTAACACTCGTTGCTGAGGACTCCAATAGGCCTGTAATGGACGTCGTTGCTGTCGTGGATCCGCTCTCGGGAAGTGCTCAGAAACTTGCACCAATTCTTGATTTACTTCGTAAAACAGTGAACTGTGACTTGAAGATTGTGCTCAATCCAAAAGGAAAGCTTAGCGAGCTGCCGCTTAAAAGGTATTTTCAAACTAGATTGCAGACGTCCTTTGACAAAAGCGATGACCAGTTCAGATTTTATCGTTATGTTGGAGCACCTGAGCTGCAATTCGATAAGGCAGGAAACGTTGCTGCAAATCAGGCCAAGTAAGTTTTTACAGTCATTATTCCAATAATCATTCAAATGTGAGCAGTTACCACAAATACCCTTTAGATTCACTAACTTACCTTCAAAGCAGTTGCTGACCCTTTCCCTTCATTCTCCAAATGCTTGGATGGTTGAAAGTGTATTTGCAGAAGTCGATCTTGATAATATACGGATGGAGCTGGTCAGTTTATTCCCTCAAAACAGTTTTCTAAACTTATTACCTAACCTTCGTCTAATTTCTATACTTGATCTGTTTTTATCTTAACTTTTTAATCAATTTCGCTATCGTTAAAATCTTCTTTAACAGAAAGTATTTAGTAGATTCTTTGGATGCACAGATCATTTCAGGTGCAATCCGACGTTGTTGCCGATTTTTCTCTG